GAGAGAGAGAGAGAGAGAGGGAGGGAGGGGCGGCGACATGCTCGGAGGGTCGCGCCGAACTCGCCGCCTCTCTCTCTCTCTCTCTCTCTCTCTCTCTCTCTCTCTCTCTCTCTCTCTCTCTCCCGTGTGACTTTCCTCCTGTGTATTTCATTTTTTTTTCGTTTGTGTATTTCTTTTTTTTTTTCCCTTTTTTCTTTTATTGTTTTTCAGTAGTAGTAGTGTCATCCCTACAGAACCGGGGCCCGGCCTTAGCGCTACGACCGGGCCTTCCCGTGGCCGACCACCCTAAGGCTGTGGTGCGTATACGGGAAGGCCCGCGGCCGATAGCTGAGCGAGGTACTGGTGGTTTAATGTGGCAATCTCAGACTGCAACTGTGCGGGCAATTGCCGTTTTTTTTTTTTTTTTTTGGCAAAAACAACTATTCTGAACAATCTTTAGTACTGTTTATTAAACTTTATTCAATCATTTGTTGACTGCAGAGTTGCCCTGAGCTGAGGCTTTTGGATTTATCCAAGAACCGGATTGACAATGAGGATGCTCTGCAGGTCAGCCCTTCAGCTGTGCTTTTTTTTCCCCCCTCTCTTTTTCTTTTTTTTGATTCCGTCGGACCTGTCCTCTTTTTTTTTTTTTTTAACCCCTCATGAGAACCCACGCTCCCACTGCTCGATATCCTTATGCAGGGGCCATGGTAATCTTCTCTGTATTGTTCCAATTTCCTAATCTAATGGATGTCTCGAAGGACCCTTCAGCTGTGCGCTACATGCCCACACTGCTCACACTGTCCACACTGGGAAGATCTGATTTAACACCTGCCATGCTGTCTGTGTTTAACAAACTTTTGAGGAACGTGTTCACGGGAAACTTAATGGAAGTTCTTTGGAAAACAAAACAAAAAAAAAACAAAAAGTGAAAACAGCGCCTCAAGTCTGCCTTACGAAAACAGTGCCCATGCATTTATCCGCCCTACGAAAACAAATTAAAAGACTGTTTGAAAAAAAGTCCCAATTTTTCAAACGAGACCATATGCAACGAACCATGAACAACAAAGCCAATCTGAATTTCTGAAATGTGAAAAAAAACTAGAATCATCCACTTCATTGGTCCAATCGTAGCCCGCTTAATCCACCAAGGTGTGTGTGTGTGTGTGTGTGTGTGTGTGTGTGTGTTGTTGTCAAGAAACCCCAAACCCTCTCTCTCATTCCATCTACAAGCCATTACAAATCATCCATGAAACGTATAAAGTACGATAAACGGGCAATGTAATAGAGAATGCAAGGTTCCCCACGTTTGTGTGGTTGAGGAGAGAAGTGCCCACACACCCGTCTGCCGCAGAAGCGGCACACTTGCACAGATTCAGCGTCCTGATGAGTCGGTGAAACTCCGATGAAACAGTCTGTCGCAGCCCCTCGGTTGTTGTCCTGTCCTCCTTCTCTGCCTACGGTTTACCGGGCAGCTCTGTTTGATGATATATATCTATATATATAGTCAAACAGAGCTGCCCGGTAAATCGTAGGCAGAGAGGGAGAAGAGGACAACAAACGAGGGGCTGTGACAAACTGTTTCATCGGAGTTTCACCGACTCATCAGGAGGCTGAACCCTATATATATGCACTAGCTAAGCGCCCGCGGTGCAGGCGGTGGGGGACATGCCTGCAGAATAGGAAATGTCGTAGGCAACCTGACACAGACCACTCACATAAACTGAGACAGACTAAAAAAAAAAAAGAAAATGAATCACAAGGTGATAAAAAATAGCAAAAACTGGCTACAAAGTCTGAGTTTAATTGACGAATAGCTTAGTGTCTGTGGTGTGGGCAGTGCGGGCTACGCCCACAACCAAAACTACCGAAGCGGTAAAGAAAGTACCACAGAGTAGAGGAGAGTGTCGTAGAGCGTCGTAGAGTGCCGAAGAATAGAGTAGAGTAGAGTACAGTAGAGTACGGTAGAGTAGAGTGTCATAGAGGAGTAGAGTAGAGTAAAGTAGAGTGTTGTAGAGAGTGTCATAAAGTAGAGTAGAGTAGGGTGTCATAGAGTAGAGTAGAGTAGAATAGAGTAGAGTGTCAAAGAATGTCATAGAGTGAGTAGAATACAATAGAGTGTCGTAGAGGAGAGTAGAGTGTCATAGAGTAGATTATCGTAGAGTAGAGTAGAGTAGAGTAGAGTAGAGTAGAGTAGAGTGGAGTAGAGTGGAATGGAGTAAAGTAGAGTAAAATAGAGTATAGTGTCATAGAGTGGAGTAGAGTGTCATCGAGTAGATTACAGTAGAGTGTCGTAGAGGAGAGTAAAGTGTCCTAGAGTAGAGTAGAGTATCGTAGAGTAGATTGTCGTACAGTAGAGTAGAGTGGAGTAGAGTAGAGTAGAGTAGAGTAGAGTGTAGTAGAGTAGAGTGTAGTAGAGTAGAGTGTAGTAGAGTAGAGTAAAGTAGAGTAGAGTAGAGTAGAGTAGAGTAGATTGTCGTCAGCGTTGTCGAGCGGGGAACCCCGGGGGCAAAGCCGGTGTTAGGCTGCGGACCCCGGACCCCCGCCGCGGGGTTCATCCAACCCCGCCACCGCCGGACGACCCCCGCCGCCGCCCAGCCCCGGGTACCCCGCCGCCTAACCCCGCAGGCCCGCCACCGG